TGGTTTTGTATCAAGGTTGGTAATAATGTATCCACCTCATTACCTCTTTCTTGCGGGGTCCCACAGGGTTCGATTCTTGGACCCCTTCTGTTCTCACTTTATTTGCTCCCACTGGGGTCCAGCAAGTGTTTGTTCCATTCACCCTCTGTTAAAATGTCTGGACGACATTAAGGCCTGGATGGCTTCAAATTTCTTAAGTTTTAACAATGAGAAGACTGAAGTCATTGTCTTTAGCCCTAGCTCAACTGCCGCCACTGATCCTGTCAACCTAGACTCTCTTCAGCCATATCTTAAGCAGTCTGGTAAAAATCTCGGGATGGTTTTAGACTCTGACTTCAAGTTTGACAAACAAATCAACTCTGTTCTGCAGAAAAGCTTCTTCCAACTCAGACAGGTAGCTAAGCTCAAGCCAGTGTTGTCCAGACCCAACCTTGAGAAACTAGTCCACGCCTTTGTCACGACCCGATTGAACTATTGCAATGCACTCTATGCTGGGGTCAGCCAGGCCTCCATCTCGCATCTCCTGCTCATCCAGAATGCTGCTGCTCTGCTTTTAACAGGAACTCGTAGGTCTGAACATATTACACCTGTTTTGTCCTCCCTTCACTGGCTCCCTGTTTGTACTAGGATAGTCTTTAAAATTCTTCTGTTGACCTTCAAGTGCCTAAATGGCCTCGCACCCCTTTACCTCTCTGAGCTTCTGGAACCTTACGTTCCCTCTCGGGCCCTGAGATCATCCGATCAGCTGCTTTTGGCTGTTCCAAAAACAAGACTGAAGCTCAGAGATCGGACTTTTTCAGTCATGGGCCCCAAACTCTGGAACAACCTGCCCCCCAACATCAGGGAGGCCACCTCCCTTCCTCGCTTCAAATCCCTGCTAAAAACACATCTGTTCTCGCAGGCATTTCACACAGTGTAAATTGATTTAGTGTTTTTTGTTCTGTGATCCTATGTTTTAAATGCTTTTTATTAATTCTTCAGTTATTATTAGTGTATTGTATTTTTTTCTCTCATTAATTTTACTCCCATTGTTGTTGTTGTTAAGCACTTTGATAACAGGTTCTGTTTTAAATGTGCTCTATAAATAAAGTTGACTTGATTAGAATGAGCAGGAGACAGTTCTATTAGAGCAGGTGCAGAAGAGGAAAGCTGTCTAATGTCTAATGCGTTTACAATATTAATTAGCTGGATAACATCTGAAATCAACAGTTGTCTGATGTGTCATCCATTTTTTTCATTATCTGTCTCCCTATAACAGTTACCCCCCCCCCCCCCCCCCAGGGGTTTAACTTCAACAGTACTACTTATTCACAATTTTGCTTTAAGTTAGTTTTCTGTGTCACATCTCACATCATTGGTTTGGGATTTCTTTCTTCAAGTCTGAATTTGCACTCATTGCAGTAATTTTATTTTCAAGACCTTTTTTGAATTCAAAAGTCCATTCATTCATTGGACAAAAAGTGTGTTTTGTCCTGGACAGATCAACAGTCTGACATCAGTCTTTGAGCACAAATTATACTATTTGTATGCACTTGTAAGAGTCATTGTACCCAATGATGTCTTCTTCTCATCATTATGATCACCAAGAGGTGAAGTGAAAAACATTGATAACCAGCACTGGTAGGTAGAAAATAATGGGCAACTTTTTAATCATAAAAGGAAACTTTTGGAAGTATTAAAAGTGGACAAGTGACAGGATTTAAACAATTTTGTTGAGGACCAAACTGTCATGGCAGGAGAGCTGCAGAAGTCAGGACCTACTCAAAGCGGTGGAAGAAATACTGGCAACATGAATAGCAGAGAGTAAATTTTAACCAGTGTTTTCCAAACCATCAGAAGAAACACTAAATCCTTCGATCATTTCATCCATTTTCTTTACCCACTTCTCTTTTCCTGGAGCTGGTGCCTATCTCCAGCACTCACTGTGCAAGAGGTGAGGTACACCTTGGACAGGTCACAAGTCCATTCAGGGACAAATGTGACAAATAATCATTCACACTCCCACTCACACCTTGGAACAATTTAGAGTTACTAATTAACCAAACATGCATGTATGATCTATGGGAGGAAATTGGAGTATCCACATGTGCAGTGGCAGTTTCTGATATGGACGATGCAGGCAGCTACCCAGGGCGGCATCTCATTAATGGCGGCACGAGCACCCACCCCCGCCCTCACCCTCGCCCTCACCCTCGCCCTCACCCTCGCCCTCAAATAAATAATACACATTATTTCATATAGCTTGTCTAGCCTATATATCAGTTTCCTATCAGCCACTTGCAGGGAATGACAGTTTGAGTGAGTCTGTGATGGTACATGGTTGTCATCTTTGGGTTGTTTTAAACTCTACCGGAAACCAAAACTGAACACAGAAGAACCAGGAGATAAGAGTAAAAGAAGTAGTGAGTTTATGTACAAGTTTGTGGAAGGTGTCAGGGGACTGGGAGATTTTAATTTTTTAAGACTTATAGGTTATATCTTTTATAGGGGAGTGGTGGCGCAGAGGTTAGAGAAGGTGGGCCTGTGATCGGAAGATCGCCGGTTCAAGCCCTGGTACCGACAACATTAAAAAAAAAGTGGGTGGGGTAGGTGAAGCACCCACACCTGCCCCCACCCTCATTCATCCCACTCTGGGCCCTTGAGCAAGGCCCTTAACCCCCACCAATCTGCTCCTCCAGGTGTCCTAGAGAGCAGCTCTCTGCTTCACACAGAGGGCTGTGGTAGCTCGGTGGTCTGTGGTTGCGTCAGAAAGGGCATCCGGCGTAAAAATAACTGCCAAGTCTTCGTGCGACTTAGTTCGCTGTGACGACCCCTGAAGAAGGGAGCAGCCGAAAGAAGAAAAAAATAAAATAATAAAAGGTTATATATTTTATCTTATACATCTTAGGTTTTTGAGGGAGGTCCAGACGTGGTACTGTGCTTGAGGGGGATGATCAAGATTCAGAGGTGAGAGAAACAGGTATAGAATTGTCAGGAGCAGACATGCAGGTAATGTTTTTTTTTAGATAATATATGACCCCAAGTGGCAGACTGAGAAGAAAACAAAGTCAGAAGTACAAAAATAAGTGTCCTTATTTACAGGTGGAAGTTCTCTGGGCTGTAAGGGAAAGTAGGGACCAGGTGAGTGTCTGCGAAAATCTCCAGATGGTGACCACTCAATTTGCGAAGAGAATTTGCTCTTACTGTAATGTTGGTCTTTATAGTTGGAACCAGAGGAAAGAGCAGAGAGGTCCTAGGTTTCCAGGTGGTCCTGGTTCCAGGAGAGGTGAATGCTGATGGAGAGAGGAGCAGGTTGTCTGAGGTTGATGATTATACTCCAGGCTGAAGGCTTTTGGTAACTGTGGGACACGTTCAGGACAAGGTGAAGTCACAAGGAGCGAGGAGGCCTTAGAACAGGGCTATTCAACTGGCAACTCGGGGGCCAAATCAGGCCCATGGGTGAGCTCAGTTCGGCCCATCAAAGGATTCATTTCTAATATCAATTTAAAAATGTATCCTTGCTAACAATAAACTGCTAAACAGGTGTAAAAAATAATTAGTGGAAGCTAACACTAAACTGCTAACTGCTAAGACGTCTGTCACTCAGTCTGCGTCACAGGTCTTCGTCTCCGTCCAGTTGGTGCAGCGTCGACAAAACACCTCGTTGCATGTACACCTAGTAAGCTAAGCCAGTAGCGTGCCTTCAGCTAGCTGCTGCATCGACCAATCACGTCTTGTCACATGTACACGTAGTAAGCCAACAGTCTGCCAAAATTTTTCTTTGAGTCATGCCCACCGCGGACAAGTTTTTGAACTTTGTTAGCAGACTTAAGGTTTGCAAAACCTAATTTAATGGAAGCTAATTCTGCTATTGGTTTCCAAAGTTAGAGAAAACGCTAATCCACTAAACAAAAAAATAGTTCCACTATTACCAAAACTGTGCCCACCACTAGTGAAGTAGGTGTTAAAGACAACTCTTTGTACATTAGTCAAAGATGTTATTTTGCAACACAGCTAATTTTAACATAAGCATACAAATGTGACTCTAGTTCATTTGAACAACAGTGATGCTGAAAGTGGACACATCCATACCTATGATGGCTCTCGGAGCACTACTGGCAGAAGCATTTGTAATCGTGTGGGTGTGTGTGTGTGTGGGCGGGGGGGATGTCTTGGGGTTCTCCCTCAGAAATTTTTGAATAAAGTAGATGCCATTTCTTGCATTTTGATGTACTTTAACAGGTTCTCAAACATTTATGTGTACCTACATAAGTAGGTACATTCCATTGATTCAATAACTAGAGAGCATGGCACAACAAGGAGTAACCCGACCAATAGCTTTCCTTCTCTCATGCAAAAACCCCTCACCCAACCAAACCCCGGGTTGACAACTGCTGGCACTAACATATCACTAAACTAGCGGCGTGCAATATAGACGCGCTAGCTAAGGTGCTACAGACGTAGCATGGACGTAGCACTCCGATTCTTTCACACATCATAAACCACCCCACCTCGGTCAACAACTGCCAGCACTAATGTAGCGCTAAGCTAGCGCACATCGCAGAGGTGTCTCCCCCTAATTCCCCTACCCCATGGACAAAAAATCCCCAGATGAGCGCCCTGCCAAGCCCAGTAACCTATAGGAGATATTGTTTGGACCCCTCCACAATGCCTATGGCTACAGGGGCAGCATTTCTGAGCTGTTGGTGTGGCCTGACTGTAAATCTGGAATCTTGCAGTTTATCATGATACACAGAAACTGATGACCACAAACATTTTTACAATAACATAACATGCTTTTTTAAGCTTTTAAGATACCTCAGTGAACTTGTATTGATGATAAACTCAATTCTAATTCCTTCACTTTCAAGCTTTTCTGTTAAGAATTGAGTTAAAATCTAAAACAAAAAGACAATAAAACAACAGCTGATATCAAAACAATTTAATTGGCAAACTAAACAAGTACAGCTTTAACTATACTTCATATTACACATATTATTACAGTAAATTAGAAGGATCTCATAATACTTTAACAATACATAACACTGATTTTTTATAGTACAAAAAACATACAAATATGATAAGACAAGGAAAGTTCTAATATGTTAATTTTGGCTTTAAAAAGTAATTGCATGTTTTTATAAACTGTCGGCAACTAGTTGCAATTTAAGTTAAAGAAAGCATTTCTTCACATAAAGCTTTGCTAAAATTGTAACCAAAGAGAGATCATTTATGTTTTTTTTTCCTGTTGTTTAAGCAAAGACACTTTAAAATGAAGATTTACCTCTCCACAAAGCAAAGTTGTGAGTAAACATAATAACAAGAAAGCGTAGTCTGATATTTAAAATCCTGCAGCAGGTTGAAATCTATAAGTTACCCTCAGCGAAAAATTTTAAATTTGCTGCCTTCAAGGGGTGACACCATTTGTCTCTCTAAATCGGGTAAGAGGAGGGGCTGTTTCTTGTTCCTCCAGATGACCGCACAGATTCGGGAAACCAACAGGATGCACGCCAATACCAAGAGTACCACTGAGAAAACAGAAATATAGGCCACTGGTTAAAACTAAAAGAATCATATAATTTTCATTATAATATTGGAAAATAATATTTACATGAAAGTAAAAAACAAAAAACTACCCAAGTAATTTGAAACACAATGTATTTATACTGCACATTATTTTTTCACTTCTAAGTTATGGACAAAAACTTGTTTCACCTTATGATATGTAACTGGATGAAAACATTTCTCTGCTTATGATATCTACATGTTAAAATGGTAAATTGTGTCATGTTGTTAGCAAATATTTCACTTTAAGTAACAATTATCTCCAGAGGCTTTCAAGATATGAAGCTTTCATTTCAAATGGGATGTGAAGATGCCATGCTTCCAGGCGGATACTAAAACTATGGAGTATAAAAAAGAACAACCTAAAGAACACTTTAGTACAGCTGTGAGAACTGAAATAAAATAAAATAACTACTACAAACACGATCAATCCTGACTTATAAAAAATGCAGCAGAACTAGGGGTTTATCGATTCTCTTTTTAAAACCCCTTCTATTGTCAAAAAATGTTAAATGTAGCCATCCCTATTCTTTTCAGTCCTCTCACTGTCATATTCTTCTTGGCTGTCCTCTTAAGGCTCCAGTATAGTCAAGCGTACGTCAGTCCGTGGCGGTCCACGCGTACCAAATTAGAGTTGAAGCGGACGCCCGCAGGGCATGTCCGTGCAAAGCTCAATTTTTACGACTGCGTACTCGGTGTCGCATAATAAACTGCCCGGCGATGAACTGTTTTGTATGCGACACCAATGTATTAAATTCCCCTTCTTCATCCCTGATCTGGTTTGATGGCCTTTTCTTGTGTTTTTTTGCCAAGACCCAAGCGATCTCTTCCTCCTCGTCCGTTGACGCCATGACTGAAATTGTGAGAAATTAAGGAATTTGTCACAAGCTAAATAAAATCAGGTCCAGCATGGCTGCAGGAGGGTCTGGAGATTTCCTGGTGGGCTGGTCTGATGTGTGGGCTGCAGGGCCAGCGCTCCCTGTTTTTTTTTTTTTTTTTTTAATTTAGAACTACTTATTAACAACATATAAACACAGAACACCATTGCAGCTTGCTGCCAACTCTTGTTTTTTTTTTGTGTGTGTGTCCTGTCAATCAATCCAGTAGGCGTGTCAGCAAATGACCAATCGGCGACTTCAATTTGTCCTGAAGGTAAAAACCCCTTGTCTGTGGAGCTGACAGCAGCCGATCTGGGTGAACGCTTAACCTTCCTACTATGTTAGGGTCCGTAGTGACCCATTTTAAATTTTAAATCATGATACTGTCTTTTAAATATTTTTTTTTGCATCAAGGCTTTTTGACTTTGTCTGAAACCTTTATTTAAATAAAAAAAATATATATATTTTTTCACTAAATTTAATTTTTATTTTTTATAGAACAACACGCACTTGCCGCGCTGGGGTCATTTGTGACCCAGTTATGGTATAAGACTATCAACCAATAATCAGTGTCAAAACTGAAATCATAAACACACTGTGACCTCACTAACTTTGTCATACATATGTTAGGGCCTTCTGTTTTTACCTGTTTGTCTACTTCACTGACCAAAACATCCCCATTTATCCGTACTACTTTTATTGATAAGTCCCTCATACTCTGCTCCCAAAAACTGAAAAAGTTCATCCAGCTGTAGATGCAGAGACATGTTGAGGCATGCCCATGTAGAGATGAGCCTACCTGGATAGCCATGCCCATCTTGATAGGCAGACCTAGATAGACACACCCACCTGGGTGTGACTCTACATGGGCATGTAGAGACATGTAGAAACAGACACTCCATTTTACCTAGAGCTTGGCTGCATACCAAAATGAAGAGAAGATTCACAGTACAAGAAGCTCTAGATCACATCCTTGCTGAAAATGATGCAGAGGACACACCTAGTGACACAGATGAGCCAGTTTCTGAGGAGGACGATGCTATTGAATATGAATCAGAGTACACAGACTCGTCGGATGAGGAGGGCACAGGTGCTGAAGCTGCTCCTGTAACTGAAACCTATAAATCCAAAAAGGGTAACATCACTTGGAGTGCGATTCCTCCTGTTTCACATGGCAGGGAAGCTGCTGAAAATGTTATGAAGATGACCCCTGGGATTACAAGGTTTGCTGTGACACGAGTAAGTGACATCAAGACATGCTTTGATTTGTTTATGCCATTGTCACTAAAGAAAGTCAAAATTGCTATGACAAACCTCGAAGGGAAAAAAGTTCACGGTGACACTTGGAAGGACATTGATGAGGAGTGCCTGGATGCTTTTATTGGTGTTCTTCTTCTCGCTGGCGTGTACAGATCCAGCAATGAGGCCCTTACTAGTCTCTGGGATGTGTCCACAGGCAGGAGTATTTTCCGCGCAACAATGTCACTTCAGACCTTTCAAATGATCTCAAGAGTCCTCAGATTTGACAACAGAGATACTAGAGCACGGTCTGACAAGCTTGCTCTCATCAAAGACGTCTGGGATAGATGGGTGAAGCTCCTTCCACTGATGTTCAACCCAGGACCAGAGGTGACAGTGGATGAGCGTCTTCTCCCTTTCCGTGGAAAATGCCCCTTCCGGCAATACATGCCCAGTAAGCCAGGCAAATATGGCATAAAAATCTGGGCAGCCTGTGATGCGAAAACCAGCTATGCCTGGAATCTACAGATTTACACAGGCAAACTTGCAGCTGGCATCCCTGAGAAGAATCAAGGAAAACGGGTAATCCTTAAAATAAATAAATATACATGGGTCAAAACTTACCCTTAACACTATAAATGTTACTATGGTTAATAATATTAAAATAACAAAATAATAAGACAAATTTATTTTAGAGATGTGTTCTAATACTTCTTAAAAAAACACTGTTTTGAGGGCATTTTTTGGCTGATTTAAGACGGGTCACAACTGACCCGTTCACATCATAAGTGCGTGCGGGATCTCGCCCCGCTAGGAAGGTTAAGTATGTAATCTGAACCCTCTGCAGACAGTGTGCACAGTTTCTGCGCAGCTGACAGGACGGGTGTGTATACTGGAGCCTTAACTCTGAATAACTTCCTGCACTTCACTGTTCCACCACCAGGTTTCCTTATCATCCATTCTCTGTCCAGATGACACACCAAGTACCATCCCTGTCTCTCTGATTATTGTTGCTGTAGTAGCTCAGTCATCTGGAAGCTCTTTCTTACCACCCAGACCCTTTAACACCTCATCTCTGAACTCCTCACAACATTCTTCTTTCTTCAGCTTCCACCATTTGGTCTTCTTCTTTGATTTGACTATTTTTCTCTTCTTCACAACAACAGTCCTTTTACACACAACCATCCGATGCTGTCTGGCCACGCTCTCCCCTGCCACAACTTTACAGTTCCACATCTCCCTCAGGTTTCCTCTTCTACACAGAATATAGTCGACCTGCGTACTCCTTCCTCCACTCTCATAGGTCACTCTATGTTCTTCCCTCTTTTGGAAACAAGTGTTGTTTAGAGATATTTCCATTCTCTTAGCAAAATCCACCACCATCTGTTCTTCCTGGTTTCTTTCAATGACACCACACCTACCCATCACTTCTTCATCCCCTCTGTTTCCTTCACTAACATGTCCCTTCAGGTCTGCTCTAACCACCACTCTCTCCTCGCTGGGAATACTTACTATCACTTCATCCAGATCCTTCCAAAATCTATCTTTCTCCTCTACATCACATCCAACCTGTGGAGCATAACCACTGACAACATTTAACATCAGACCTTCTACTTCTATCTACTGACGCATCATCCTATCTGACAGTCTCAGTGTAAAACAGCTCTGTAAGCCTTGCTGCCCTTCCACTTTGACTTCTGCACACAAAATACATCTACCTTCCTTCTCTGCATAATGTCAGCCAGCTCTCTACCTTTGTCTGTCATTGTGCCTACATTTAAAGTTGCCACCTCAGTTCTATATTTTACTTCCCTCTTGGTTTTCAAGAAACTGTAGCACAGTTTCCACCAGCACCCTGTTTGTCAACAGCACTGGTTATGGTCATTGTTAACCTAGGCCTCGACCAATATGGTATGTTGTAAAGTGGATGGGCTCATGTTTGTTGCAGAGAAGTATGCTAGACTGGTACAGGACATGTATGAGGACAGCAGGACAGTGGTGAGATGTGCTGTAGGAATGACAGATAGCTCCAAGGTGGAGGTGGGAGTGCATCAAGGATCGGCTCTGAGCCCCCTCTTGTTTGCTCTGGTGATGGACCAACTGGCAGATGAGGTCAGGCAGGAATCCCTGTGGACTATGATGTTTGCAGATGACTTATGATGATTAATGACAAAAGAGTGGTAGCAAAGGTCAAAGAAAGGATTATTGTACAAGATAGTTGTGAGAGCAGCTATGTTGTATGGTCTGGAGACAGTGACATTGACAAAAAGACAGGAGGAAGAACTGAAACTGGCAGAAATGAAGATGTTAAGGTTCTCCTTAGGAGTGACAAGGATGGATAAGATTAGGAATGAGATCATCAGAGGTGCAGCACAGGTTGAACAACTGGGAGATAAAGTTAGAGAGACCAGACTGAGATGGTTTGGACATGTCCAGAGGAGGGACAGTGGGTATACTGGTAGAAATTCATTTGCCAGGAAAAAGACAAAGAGGAAGGTCAAAGAGGAGTTATAGGGATGCAGTTAGAGAGGACATGGAGGTAGTTGGAGTAGCAACAGAGGATCAGAATACACAGAGTAAAATAGAGAAAGATGACTTGCTGTGGTAATCGCTGAAAAGGAAACATCTAAAAGAAGAAGTTACTGAGATCGCTAGATTGTGTCTTTATAAACTAATTTTTACACAAATCTAATTTAAAACAAAAATGAGCTATGTCTCTTTCTTGTGCACATTCCAACTTATTTGCCCAGCTCTGGTCACAGTAAGCATGTCAGCATGTCTGACAAACAAAAGTCAAAAGTAAAATTTTTTACTTTTACAATGACTGTTCTGTTGTTCAAGAAAGCCAGTGTTTGATTTTCCAGTTGCAGTTTAATAATTTCTATTCAATTCAATTCAGTTTATTTATATAGCGCCAAATCACAACAAAGTTGTCTCAGGGTACAGAAACATTCACATACATAAAAGCTAATAATAAAATTAATTGTATTAAACTCACCCGTAAACACAGAATTTGGAGTGGGATCAGGTGGGTTAAAATGTTTGTTGACGTTTCCAGCCAGAGCCACGATCACCACTAGGTACACGGTCAAAATGTTACGCACCCATCGGTCCAGCACCCAGTTCTCCAGAATGAACCTGAAGACAGAGGAGGAAGGAAAAACGTTCAACAAACATCGACCAAAATCTTACTTGTAACAAAACTCAACCAAAGATTTCTTCCTAAAAATAATGTTTAAAAAATGTAAGCTTACCATCCCACTACTTCTGCAAAAAGGATGCACAGAGAGACAGTTGCTGCTGTACTCTTGTCAACACCCCACAGGTGGAGAACCACAGAGAAATTGAGCAGAGAGGCAATGCTGGTCCATGTGGTGTAGACGGCCAAACCATTCTGGACCTGAACATACAGACGAGCAGAACATTAATATTCTGAGACACAGCTAATCTTTATGAATCATCACTCTGCCTTACCAGTATTCGGAGACAGGCCAGGTCTTTGCTATGATACGTCTTCAACCACAGCCCATAGTAGTCTGTGGCATAGCAGGAGAAGAACAAAGCACAGTAGTTGGTAAACGCTATCAGCATCAGCACAACCATAGCTGCCACCATCAACCTGCAAAACAAAAAGGATGGACCAGAAATGTAACTCATTGCCCATAAACAACAAACACAGAACAATGTGCGTTCTGACTATGTCCTGTTAGAACTGGTTTTATATATTTCTTTTTATACATTTCTTAATTTAGTACAATAAATCGTATTTACTCCCCAGGTATAATAAATCAAAGTAGAACACTTACTCTCTATCCCACAGAAACAGCCATGCAACGTTCAGCAGCATGTTGCACAGAAAGGACAGGTAGAAGCCATAAGGTAGTAGAGACTGAGCCCAGGATCTACAGGAAGACAGACATCTGTTTAGTTCTGCATGTTTCACCAGTAAACATTTATTTAGACTGTTGAGATGTTAGCTTACCCTCTGAACACATACGAAGTGAGGTAAATGACCATCAGACTGAGCCAGATATAGATAACGCTCCAGATGGAGAAGGTCCAACCAGCTGGAGTGATGTCTGTCTCATAGCGGGCGGACACATTGGCTGCAGTGGACACGAAAGGACCTGGACAAGGGAGACATTCAGCATGAGATACTCTGCACAGGTGAGCTGTCGGTTAATTGTCTTAAAAAAAGTTTTACAATAAAGTAGTCCCACCAAACAAAAAAAGTCTAAACTTACCTATGCCCGTTCCTGCCAACGCGTTAAAGACAACAACGATTAAAAAAAACACGACACTCAAGATAATGATACAAATTCGGCCCAGAATGTTGTTCTTCATTTTAGCTGCTCTCTGCTGCGTTTGATGTTCGCGCTGCGGATGGTGCGAGCACGAGCGCAGTTTATAGTGTGGTGCCTTCACGTGAATCACGTAAACGCCCTCCTTCTACTTAAGCGAAGGTTGAGTAATTTGAGTCCGTCAATTTCTGCAACAAATCAGGATTATAAAACAAAATCTGACTTAATAATAAATCCAAAAGTTTTGTTTTTATAGTATAAGGAAGTGCTGTATGGGCAAAACCCAGAGGACTAACTGGATTTTTATTTTGTTCAAAATAGTTTAACTGATATAAAGCCTAATGGAAAAAAAAAACATTTTACAAAAATGTAGCCTACGATCACAATCATGTAAATTCATGGTAAATATTAGTAAAATACTGTGTCATATGTGCGTCAGTAGTTTAGAAATAAATATCATGTTTTTTTAAGTCGTAAAGGAATCACAGCTGGGATTTGAGCAGAAAGACGTCCTCAATTTTCAGCTGTGGCAGAAATATTCCCAAATTGTTCAAGTTTGTAAAACTTGACTTTTTAATTTGTTTCTATGTTATACCGGTACTGCATGGCTGTTTACATTGGGAGTATTATAATAAGCTGATTCCTAAACAGTCTGAACTGAACTGACTTGTTCCTGCATTTATTTGCATACATTTTCTTGCAGGACAGTTTAAGTTTATTCCATTTTATGATGAAACAGTCAGTGTTATTTTTCAGTTTACTCTCTCTCACACAAATTGTGAACTGGTATCTACACTATCTCCACAACATCGGTGTCTTATTGCACCTGTTCAGGGTTGGACATGTTTGCACACGTGCTTACGTTTGTATTATGAAACTGGTCATTTCTGAGTAGCTCCTTGGTCATAAACAGACGGCATTTTGTTTCACTGAGTACTCACTCTGTGGTTGAAATGTCATTAAAACATCTTGAATTTGATGTTGGCCCTACTATGGACCCTGAATGCAACACGTGCATTTTGTTTTTAAAGGTGCATTTATTTACAGGTGATTATTAGTGTACAATCTAGCTATGTAACATGCTTTAACTGGTACCCAGCCTCTTTACTAACTCAGTAATGACAAAAATACTGGTTAAGTCTTCAAACAACATGTTAGACTAATAACTTTGAATGTCTCTGCAAAGTTTAATCCTCTTTTATAAGCAGCATAGTTCTTACATATGTCTGGATACTTCAAAGATAATTGAACAGATATAATAAATCACATTACCTAAGGCAGAGACGGTGATGATGCAACTAAATAAGTAACACCACATAACACAGACTGCTATCTTGTAAATCACTGGCCAATGTTGATAAAATGCAGTCTTATCACACGAATCAGTTCTTATGAAATACGTCCCTGGTTTTGTAAGCAGTAACAGTTACATATATGTTCAAAGGTTCAAGAGACAAAGGAAAAACAATTGGGATTTTAGTGGAGAAAAGAAATAAACCAGGCTGTCAGTATGTTGTTTCAGCCGGGGTTCACCTTTAGGACAGAGATTAGCAACATGCATTTATAGTATGGTCGTATAGTATTTACGAGACCCATAAGACTTGGACTTTCTCTCCAGTTCTGTAAGCGAAAACAATTTTCATACTGATTTTCCTGAGACTTTTCTATTTGTCAACAACACAAAAAGTGAGGAAAGAGTCTCATTTTAAATGCCACATTTTGCTTTTGGTCCTTATTTGAAGCTTTGGAGAGTTCAGAATTAATTAAACATATATAACAAATGACATTACCTAATGCAGAGAACATGATGATGTAACAGAATATGTAGCACTACATAATACAGCCTACAATCTTGTAAATCATTGGTAAATATTGATATAATGCAGACTTATCAGATGAGTCATTTATGAAATACTTGTCTTGTTTTATAAGCAGTTACATATAGGTTTAAATGTTCAAGAGAAAAAGGGAAGAACAACTAGGATTTTAGTGGAGAAAATAAAAAATGTACTGTAAGTATTTTGTTTCTTTGTAGTTCAGCTTTGGGACAAATTAACAAAAATGCATTTCCTGTATGGTAGTACTGTAGCCTATAGTGTAGTATTTTGAGCTGCAGTAGCTTGGTCAGTGTCACGGTCTTGTAATCCTGAGGTTGCAGGTTCGAGCCCAGGTTGCGTCAGGAAGGGCATACGGTGTAAAACAATTGCCAGATCTTTCATGCTAGTTCACACGCTGTGGCAACCCCTGAAGAAGGCAGCAGCCGAAAGAATCTAGTATTTTAGGTGCAGCAGAAATCAACACTTACTTTTTTTTATGCAATTTGTTCAACTTTTGCATTTGGAAAATTGAAACTTGTGACTGAAAATGATTTGGCCCATCAAATTAAAGTCCTACTATATATTTTTTAACAAATGTCTAAAATTGTATTTATAATTACATTGTTCTGATTAAAACAATGAAATACCCAAGTCACACAGGCATCATTAATGACATACCAAAATATATGAAAATACAGTAACAATTTTACAAGCAGGCCTATAAGTGTGTATGTAAGATTAATAGCCTATATAAATATTATATGTGAATATATTGTGTTTTTTCCGAGCAGGGGCGAAGCCAGAAATGTGGAAGTTGATTGGCCACCCGAGTTGCTTGACTAATCACTTGTAGGGACACATCAAGGTTTTTCTACCATCAACTTTTATTCTTTTGATACTTTGAAAGTAAGACTGACTCTCATTCCCAAAGCTGGACAGTAAGGAACCATGTTACCAAAAAAATGAATAACAAAAATCTGTTATTGTAATTAATTGCACACCTGGTATTATGATTTCAGCAAAGCTGAAAGGCCCTTTGTATGCGAACCTTTCCATCTGACCTTTGAAATATAACATCTGAAGCACTATGTGCATCTCTTCCTAAAAGGGAGGATTCGTCCTGCAGTCTTAGGGTGCATTCACACCTGATAGTCCGGTAGACTCGGTTTGGTTCGGGACCAATCATCATGACATTTTGTTTACATTTGAGCTGGTGCGTTTGCATTCACACTGCACTGAGCAGTCGAGCCAACCTGTTGAACCAACCTGTTCCCCCGCTCGCCTGTGGGGGCGCTGCACCAAGAACTACTGAAAGAAACGACACAAAAACCTCTGAAGACACTTCTTCTTCTGGAAATAAAAACAAAAACGAAGTGGCATCAAGTTTTAGCAGTTTTAGGAGTTATATTGTTTTATTTTTCAAAAATGGACTCAGCATGAGCAGAAGATGAGGCAGAAGACCATGGAGAATGTTGTTTTTCACACAAGGCAGCTGACGACTCCGTATAAGGTAAGAGAAATGTGTGTTTGTTTGCCTTGCGCTGTACGCTTCCTGCTTGTGGAGCGAGGCCCGGTCTGTTTACATTCACACTGTACTCGAACCGCGCTGGAGTTCTGTTTTACCGGACCGAAACCTAGGTTTTAGCCCGGGTTAGAGTTCGCCTTTTTGTTCCGTGACAGAGTTCGATGGCGCGTTCACACCTCCCCAAACGAAACAGACTTTCTAGGAAAACGAGCTAGAGTTCGATTAAAGCGGACTAAACAGGGCTGCTGTGAATGCACCCTTAGAGTGTGAGAAAGAACCCCGTTGTTTCTCAAGGACTCTTTTGCCATCCCACGGTAGAAATTATTTTTCTGAACAATTTAAATTTCTGAGTTCTCCTGAACACAATTGAATGTTTTGCTGTAAAACTGCTATGAAATAACTTGTTTACATCCTTTCTCAGTTCAATACTCAGTTTTAATCATGCATAAAAGAAAGTAGATGTAAAACTGGTAATCAGAGGATTCAACTGTGTTTGCATAAGTTCTAATGAAAATATTTATGGATGAGTAAAAACTGTTTAGAAGTTTTGATTATCCTGCTGTATATTGAGTATTTACCCAAAACAGAGTAAATTAGCCATTTATTTTTATTAAGGTTATTAAAGTTCAAATGAAACAGTAACCTGAAACAAAGGTCCACCCTTTCTGTTTTGATTGGGTTGACCATCAATATTGTAACGCCCTCTAAGTCAGAGAATGTTATTCTGACGTTTAGTTTAGAGCAGTCTTGGGGAAGCTTTTGAAGAGGAAAGGTCAAGCAATCGGAAATTTATGCCAGAAGATAAGAAGTTCATGCAGAAACGAGACAAGTATTCCAGAGATTTTGTCTCGTGTTCAAGGAAGCATCAAAATGTTCCTTGTCACCAAAAGGAGAAAACACAGCCCTCCAGGAGCCCATCAACTGACCCCATCAGGAGCCAGATCTGATGTCCAGTGTCGAGGGATATCCCACCTTCGGCGCTTTAACACATCTCAAGAGAGTCCCTGGTAACCCTCGGGCAGTTGAATTATAACTTCAAATTGGTAGGAAAAGCTGCTCCTTCTCTCTCTGCTGGTGTCTGATGCCCAAGATAAGAAGTTGTCCAGTATAAGCAAAATTCAGCATTATTAATTAGAATTAAGTTTTCCTAAATTGACAAATCACATCTAGTCAAAACACTTCATTTAGTTAACTTTATAGATGATAATTTACTCTGCTTTTGAACCTCATAATTCACCATATTAATGTTTAGAAGATAATTCCATAACTCCTTCTTGTGTTGTCAAATTAAAGCCATTATTCATTCTTCAGCTGTTCTTATCGTTTTGATCACTTATTTACCAAAATCAACAATAAACTCCACAAAATTGTACTTTGACTCAAAGCGTTTTTATTATATATGACATTTGGATTTAATACGAAAAGAACTCACTAGAGAGCACGAAAACTTGAGTCTGATTTAATAATTTTCTTGCTTAAGAACCGGAAACCAAGTGGTGCCCTTTCAGAATGAAATTACTAATAAAAATTCAACGATCTGAGGACCCTTTCCTCTACACACTGCATTGGGCACTGGAAGATGGGCGTCTTTTGTTAATTACCTTTTGCCTTCTAGTGATCAGAATTAATAATTGCACCAAAGCAGAGTTAAAATTTACTTTTGGTTTATTCTCCCTGTGCACACAATGCAGCAGCTGCTGCTCTTTTCCTTGGCTGATTTGAATGAAACAATATCTGTTGGTAACATAATTCATTCACTTGTTGTTTTAATTGTTTATGCTTAAGGAGCGCAAGAGGCTAA